GGTCAACAAACCTGCCAGGTTTGGGAGGGTCTGCTCTGGCCCCACTGCCTGGACACACCATCTGCCCCCATCATGACCTTTCTCCCTCCTCCTACCTCTGCCGTGGTCAGAGCTGGCTTGGAGCTCACCTCTGTCCAGCCACCTAATTCCTAAGTCCCAAGGTTTTATCTGGCACAGGGACTCATTCCCTAATAAGGGTTCAGTGCTCTTTTCCACCTCTCCCTCTCCTCTTGCAAGTGCAATTTCCCACCCACTATTCCCACCCCCATCCCCATGAACATGCAGGTCCCAGGGATCCATTGGTGGACATAGGAAAAAAGAAGAGCAGGAACAAGGAAAGTTTCTCTCTGATTCTTGAGGGAAGTAGAAGTGCACTCTCTCTTCTTCAGGAAAGCGCCATGCCTGCCCTGTTTGGGATAGTTCTCTTGTCCCAGGAAACCAGTCTGTTGAAATGGGATGTTCATTTATACTAGTACTAGTGGCCCGGTGCACGAAATTCATGCACAGGGGGAGGAGAGGTGAGGGTGTCCCTCAGCCCGGCCTGCACCCTCTCCAATCTGGGACCACTTGGGGGAATCGGGCCTAAACCGGCAGTTGGACATCCCTCTCAAAATCCAGGACCACTGGCTCCTAACCGCTCACCTGCCTGTCTGCCTGCCAGATTGCCCCTAACCACTCTGCTTGCTGGCCTGCTCACCCCCAACTGCCCCCTCCTTTGGCCTGCTGGCCCCCAACTGCCTCCCTCTGCCAGCCTGCTCACCCCCAACTGCCCTTCCCTCCTGGCCTGATCACCCCTAATCGCTTCTGCCTCAGCCCCGCCACCAATGGCTTTGTCCAGAAGGAAGTCCGGAAGGTCTCCCGGTCTAATTAGCATATTACCCTTTTATTAGTATAAGAGCTACCCAGGAGGACTGTTGATAATTCTGAGAATCACTGTCCCTCCCCACTTTCATCTCTGAACACACTCACACACACATGCACACACATGTACACGCAAACACACTCACAGGTGCTGGTACACAAACATACGTTTGGTAATGGCAGGTTTTCATTTCGTAACTTTGTGAGAGCTTTTTAAAATTTTAATCCTTTCTGTTGCAAAATAAACCAAAATATGCTTGAAAACCTTTGTAGCTCATGCCACGTGCTTCTGAGGGTTGTAGGGCATTTCCAAAATCCCTAGAGCATTGTGTCCTCCAGGGACTGTGCAGAAGCACCGTGTGGGTAACCAGGCCCTCCGCTCGCCTGGCATCTGTCTCACAGTGGGGACTGGGTCTCAGAGTGGGGCGGCAGCGGTGGAAGGGGTGCTAATGATTGGGGGCAGGGCCCAGCTGCCTGTCACACCTGGAAGTGGCTGTCGGTGAGGCCGGCCCTGACCTCTAGAAAGGGGGTCTGAGTCGGGGCTGGTTCTCCTCACTCTCTCCTGGGGATCCCTGTCTGTTCCTTTAACCACCACCCCCGCCCAACACCCAGGCGCCCCATGACCAGACTCCTGCCCCATCCTTACCTCTGGCTTGTAGGCTTTCCGGAATCTCGAAGGTCCCTCGGGGCTGAAGACCTGGCCAGGCACGCAGCTCACCACTGCCGGCAGCCCATTCTCACAGGTGACGTTCTTCACGGGGTCCCGCGTCACCTGTGGGCCCAGCTTGCAGCTGGAGATGTGGGCCTCCGTGCCCGTGCAGTCCATGGAGAACCGCCAGTAGCGCGGCTTCTTCCGGGCCGCAAACATTCTGCAGAGGGCCGGACCGGGCAGGTGACCGGGGGTCCCAGCACCCACCCCTCATTCCTTCTGCACCCGGGCATTGGGCACCTGCCCCGGGCCAGCCACCGTGCTGGCTACTGGGAACTTGCTGGGGGTACCGGTGGGCACGGTCTCTGCTCCCGGAGCTCAGCCGGCTTCACGGAAGGGGATGCGCACAGCGCATCTGCGAGCGCCCCACATGCCGGCCCTGCACTGGGCACCGGGGGGCAGGACCTGGGATGGGACGTGGCCACCTGCCCCCCAGGCAGCTAGGAGACTAGGGACTGACTCAGTGTAGTAAGATGATACCAAAGCCTATAAACACAAAATGCAAAAAGGGATCTAAAAGAGACGAGACCCGTCAGGGTACATACCTAGGTTGTGGGTTCAGTCTCCGGTCAGGGCATGTACAGGAGCAACCAATCTCAATCTCTCTCTCTCTCTCTCTCTCTCTCTCTCTCTCTCTCTCTCTCTCTTTCTCTGAATTTTTAAGATAAATACATAAAACTGTATTG